CTTTTAGGGGCTTATTGTGGGAAAAGGAGAAGAATAAGAGTTGAAAGATAAACTTAAAAGGACTGAGGGAATATTTGTTTGGCTGGAGTGAGGAGAGTTAAGTGTGGATACTTGCAAAGGTTAGGGATAAGGACCTGCTGACTTGTGATCAGAAGGAACCAGAGTATAGAGCTACAGAGAACAGTATGGAGAACTCTGATTCCAGAAGGGGAAAAAACTAGTTCTTGGAGAAAGGCAGAGGAAAAATCTCCATTCCTCCAAGTCTTGCTGGGTGGATGAGTGATGCTCAAGTCATTAAATCCCTACCCTGCCCATCTGGGCCTCTGAGCAGGGGGAGTGGGCCTCAGAAGTCCCAGCAGTGTTCTGACAGGCCTGTTTTGGTCCTCCCGCACCAAGCATCCAGAAAGCTTTCCAGAGGGTTAGGGCAGGGTCAAATAAGTGGGCCAAAAGCAATTAGCTGAGAGGATTTAAAAAAAATTTTTTTTCAAACCCTGAAACATCAGACAGGTTGTTCAAGTTCCTCAGACAGCAGGGGGCTTTTGACCCTATAGCAAATGACAGCAGGGGAAAACAGCAACCAAAATGTTGAAAGTGGTAGACAGTCATTCAGTCAACAATATTTATTGAGTCCCCACTGTGCTCTGAGCCTGGGACTGGGCTGAAGGGTAGGTTGGTTGTTGCCTCAGCGGGCGCATCCCACCGCTGCGACAGGACCCAGGCAGGGAGCTGCTAGCCTCTGGCAGGGCTGCACGGCAGGCTTTCTACCTTATGTATAAACGGCTTCTACTCATAAAATAAAGGGGTGGGGGGTGGGAAGAAATCTGGGTTTGTGTTATCAGGGAGTTATAATATAAACAACCCTAAATGGTTATAATAGCCAGAGGGGGAGAGGGCCCTTTGCCAGCGTATAGAGAACATAACAACTGCACTTAATAACAATCAAGCTACTCCTGTAAATATTTGCATATAAGGGCTTCAAAAGCTCCAAAGCCCAAGACAGGCCATTTGGGTGATTTGCTTAGAAAGAGAGGGAAAAAATTTGACCTGCCGGTCAGAGGCAGCCATAATAAGAAAGAGTGTGGGCAGAAGACCAGAAAGGAAAAGAAAAACCCTCTAAAGTTTAATAAACAAAAAAGAGAATAAAAATAAATCTCCAGAGCTTTTATTTACAAACCTTGATGGAAGGAGAAGATAGAAGCTTATGGTGTGTGGGGTAGGGATGGGCATGGAGGAAGGATTGTGTTTGTCCCTGTGCTGTTGGCCAATAAGGTTCCATTGAGAGAAGAGGAGAGGGCGGGGGGAAATAAAAGACAAGACTTGTTTACTTTTCCTGACAACAGGAAACATATTAAATTAGTTCCACTCCTTAAAGATGCTCTTTCAAAGAATGCTTTCAGCTTCTGCTGTCTAATACTGAGAGGCCCCACACTGCACAGTAAATGCCACTCCTCCTCTGGGGCACAGTTTCTCAAACAAACTTTAGCTAGCTTATATGATATGTCACATAGAGCCCGAGGCACTGTCCTGCCTTGTCTCTGGCTCCCTGCCTGTCCTCATGGCCTCCTCCTTTCCTCAGCTGGCATGGCTGGGACACGGACAGAGCAACAGAATGTAGGGGGTGGTAGGAAGGGACCAGAAGCACCAGTCTTACCTAGTCATCTGGATCCGGGCACTGCAAGGTGGGGAGGTCTTTTCAGGCCTTCATAGAATGCTGTATCAGCCTCTCACTAGCTGCCTGATCCTACGTGAGTTACTTAATGTCCTTAAGCCTCACTTTCCTTGTCTGTAAAATGGGAATAATTAAAGCTTCTACCCCACAGGGTTGTTGTGAACATCAAATGAAAAAATGTTTGTAAAATAGGAATATATAAATATCTACTCTTACACATACTAATATATGACCTGGGACACCCAGATGTGAAGTGGCATAACAACAAAACAACAACAATAATAATAATAGAGCAGCTTCCATTTATATAATGCTTTAAGGTTTTGTGTAGTGCTTTATAATTATTATCTCATTTGATCCTCAAAACAACCCGGTGAGGCAGGTGCTATTGATTTTCCTCATTTTACAGAGAGGAGCCTTAAGGCAGACAAGAGGTTAAATGACTCACATAAGGTTACACAGCTAGTAAGTGTCTGAAGCCAGATTTGAACTTAGATCTTCAGACTCTGGGTCCAGTTCTCTGTCCACTATGTATCCTAGTTGCCCAGGATCACATAGCTAGAATATATCAGAGGTCAAGGTCTTCAAGTCGTAAGTCAAATGTCTATCTATCTGTCTGTCTATTTTTTTATCCCTATCTATCTATTCATCTCTTTCTCCCCTTATCTCTCCCTCTACTTATCTATCCCTTTCTATCTATCTACTTACCTCTCTCTCTGTCTCTCTCTCTGTCTCATCTCCTTTCTATACCTCACCGTCTTTCTATCTACTTATCTATCCCTATTTATCTACTTATCTACCTCCTCTCTCCTTATCTATCTCTAGCTAAATACACTTGCCCCCCTCTGCCTCCCCCCCATACCCTCCTTTCCCGTCCCCCCCTTCCTTTTCTAACTACTTGAGAGAGGGCAAGGAGTGGAATAGTGAATAGACAACTTCTGTATCTGGAAGCCTGAAGTTCAGGACTTACTTCTAACACAAACTAGCTGGGTGATTTCGGATAAATCACTCAACTTTTCAGTGCTTTAGGCAACTGGTTAAGACTCTAAGTTGCAGAGCAGATTCTAGTCTGCATTGGTAGAATGGATATCCTTATAAGGACCTCCCTGACTTCACAAAGTCCTCTATATAATCAAGTAAACAGTTATTCACTGATTCATTTTGGTGCAGACTTATGATTTCATGGGTATACCGAACTTCCAGTTGGGAAACTGATACAGATCAGCAACTCAGCTGTAACTTACAACATTAGAAAGCTGCTGGGAAGCCCTAAATTTAAGTGACTTGTCCAAGGTCACATAGCCAGTATGTTTTAGTGGTAGAACCCAGACCTAGATCTTCCTAAGGCTGACCCTCCATCTGTTACACCATGCTTGTTGTTCAGTTCTTTTCGGTCATGTCTGACTCTTCATGATCCCATGTGAGTTTTCTTGGCAAAGATATTCAAGTGGTTTACCATGTTCTTCTCCAGCTTATTTTACAGATGAGGAAACTGAGGCAAGCAGGGTTAAGTGACTTTCCCAGAATCACACAGCTAGTAAGTTTCTGAAGCCAGATTTGAAATCAGGAAGATGAGTCTTCCTGACTCCAGGCCAGACACTCTATCTGCTGCAACCCGGCTGCCTTTTCTTATTGTGCTTCAGTTTTACAAAGTACTTTTCCTCACTTCCTCACATAGAAACCCTGTGAAGTGGGTTATTACACAATAAATATATAATAAATATTTTGTTGTTGTCATTGTCATTTTTCAGCCATGCCTGACTCTTTGTGACCCCATTTGGGGTTTTCTTAGCAAAAGTACTAGAGTGGCTTGCCACTTCCTTCTGCAGCTCATTTTACAAATGAGGAAACTGAAGCCAACAGAGTAAAATGATTTGCCCAGGGTGACACAGCTAGTCAGTGTTTGAGGCTGGATTTGAACTCAGGAAGTTGAATCTTTCTAACTCTAGCCCCAGCACTCTATTCACTGAGCCACCTAGCTGTTAGAATAAATATAATAAATAATAAGTATTTTTGTCTCCATTTTGCTAATGAGGAAATCTGAGACTATAAGAAATTAAGGGACTTGCCCGAGTTCACAGAGCTAGGTATCTGGATCTTTTTGGGAATTCGTGTATGTTCAAAAGTTTAAGAAGCAAGTCAGCATCTGTTGAGTTCCCATTATATACAGAGTATTGGCGTAAGTACACTGTGGGGAGTTATAAAAAGAGAACCTATCACCTCTTCCTTAAGGAGAACCTGTAGTCTTAGATCTTAGACTGAATAGGCCACAAAATGATTTCTCTGGACACTGACCAGATTATCAATATTCCTAACATGTTCACAAAAATGAAAATAATTCTCCAGATGGGAGCTGACGAGTAGAAAGGTTTTGTCTCATTTGTAAAATTGAATTTAAATAAATATACTACAAACTATGTTTATAATTGCTGAATGGATGCAAAACAATGAAGTCATAGGAGCTAGGTAGGTAGAGTTCATAGGGAAAACAGAACCTGAGCTTAAAACGACGTTTTATAGAAAGACGGAGCACGTCTCAGAAGATAGCAGGAAATGTCACCCATGAAATCATAGGTGTGAGATGGAAAGGGTGAAAGGTGGGTAGTGTGGGATAGCTGATGGAGAGCTGACCTAGCAGTCAGCAAGACCTGAGTTCAAGTGCCAGTGTGGACACATCCTGGCTGTATTACTTTAGGCAAATTACTTAACTTCTCATTATCCCAGGCAATTTTCTAATGCTGGAATTCTCAACACGCACGTGTGTGTGTGTGTGTGTGTGTGTCTGTGTGTGTGTGTGTGTCTGTGTGTGTGTATGTGTATGTGTTTGAGAAAAGACCAAAATACTGAAACCAGAAAAAGATGCAATATGTGGGCCTGGATAATGTTGAACATTTTGATGCCAAACTTTCGAGGAAAAAAAATACACAGGGCAAACTGCTTGCCATTACGAGCTATTTTCTTGGCACATCTAATTAAAGTGCATGCAGGCCTGACAGCCATCTCCAGCCATCAACTGTGTACACTTGTTCCAGTTCATAAGCATCTAGGATTTTCCACCATTCTTTCAGCTTTCAAAGGACAGGGTTAACTGCTTACCCTCAAACAGAGTTCAAAATGGTTTGTTAATCTCTATTAATCTGTTATTCCCATAATCAAATGCACATGGTTATTTTTCCTGGTTAAATTGTTAATGGTATTAAATTGGCAATTGGAACCCGAACCAGGCTGCAGATCTTTTCCTTATGATGTCTCTAGGGCTATCTTGTACTGTGGTCTTTTGGGGAGAACAATGAATTTTATCATTCTCAGTGACTTCCTTAACTCTTTACAGATGCCATCCCGCCCACTTTGTACAGGCCCTACTTTAGAATTGTCAGATTTGATGTCTCAGCTATGGAGAAGAATGCTTCCAACTTGGTGAAGGCAGAGTTCAGGGTCTTTCGGCTGCAGAATCCTAAGGCCCGGGTGTCTGAGCAACGGATCGAGCTCTATCAGGTAAATTGTCTGGGGGATGGTTGGGATGATTTGTAACCTATTGGGAGAATTCTTTCTACAGCTTTAGCTTTTTCACCCAATTTGGCCATCATGACAACTACATAATACAAGAGTGTTTATACCCTTAGTATGGGGAAGTAGCATGATACAGTAGACTTTGGAGTCAAAGGACCAGAGTTAAAATCCTAGAAATAATACTAAAAGAAAGAAAAGAAAAAGAAATAACACTTATTGTCTGTGTGACCTTGGGCAAGTCACTGTTTTCCTCCTCTGTCAAATGAGGGGTTTGGACTGGATGGCCTAATAGGTAGTCATATCATGATAGAGATGCCTCATCAATGAATACTCAGCCAAATGTTTTTGTAGAAAGAGCAGTGGTTTGGGGCTCAGAAGCCTTGGGTCCTACATCTAACTCTGCTATTTATTAGCTGTAAATCAATTAAACTTTCTCTTCTATTTTCCTTAACTTTAAAATGGTAAAAATACTACCTGCCCTGACTACTTTACCAAGTGGTTGAGAGAATCAGATAAGATAACATGTCTTAATATCAAAGTGAAAGTGCTTTTTAAACTGCATAACAGTTATATGTGTTTATCATTATCATTATCATTATTATTATTATTATTATTATTACTAAATCCCTTGAGAGGACACAACAGATTGATAGACAGTTCTCTGGGTAAGGTACCTTCCTGCTTCATAATTCCTTTGAAATATTATCTCTAATTTTGGGGCAGTCTCATCCCCAAATCAGAAGGGACATGGGGAGGGAATCAGAGAAATAAAAATTACTTGAAGTGTATAGAGAGGGCAGTTGCTGGGGCTGTAAAGCAGTCAATCAATTGATCAATCAGCAAGCATTTATGGAATACCTGCCTACTGGGGTTGGGGATACAGATACAAAACTGATATAATGTTGCCCTCAAGCAACTTCCACTCTACAAGAAAAGCAAAGGGACTGAAAAAGGAGAAAAGATGCAGGGGAGGGAGATGAGGAGGGAAGGGAAGTGAGGAGGGAGTTTGGGAAATAGCACCAAGAGAGGACAAGGAGATGAAGGGCAAAGGAAATAGTCAGAGAGGGGAAGTAAAGAAGAAAAAAGGAAAGTGGACTAGAAGGGGAGAAGGCTTTCTTTTTTCTTATAGAGGTATGGAAATTTTCACCACCACCCACTCCCACTTCTGATGCCCTGAAATACATCCCTATGTTTCCTTTGGTAACAAAGTTTCTGACAAGAAAATATGTAATTTGAATCCATCCACTTCATTACTGGATATTATACATGTGTACTGTGACTATGTGCATTATTTTTCTGAACCATTAAAAGTCCCCAAAGAAGTTACCTTTTGACACAGCAAGGGCTGGCAGAACATGGCTGAACTCTTTTCATTGGCAGTAAGACAGCTGTTCTGAGGTGTTCTCCCATAAGCTATCTGGCCAGAACTGAAGGTCAGCTGTTTCAGCAGGTCTTTTCTATGATGATGATGGTGATGTAATTAATAATAGCTGACATTCATGTAGCTCTTCAAAGTTGGCAGAGCACTTTCTATGCATGATCTCATTCGGTGCTCACAACAATCTTGGGAGGAGGAGTACTATTATTATTATTATTATCATCATCATCACCATTATTATTACTATTATTCCTCTTTTACCAGTGAAGAAACTGAAATTCAGAAAAGTTCAATGACTGGCCAAAGGGAGAGCATAGCTTGTAGGTATCAAAAGCAGGAGTGAAACCTGAGTCCTCCTGACTGTAAGCCCACTATGTTATCCTCCATACCACATCATCTCTCATCATTAAAGCAGAACATGAAGAAAAGGAGGGGGGCAGCTTATTTTAATAAGTAATAAAACCTCGTTTGTCTGCCTTCATTTAAATGGGCACCATCTTTGCTTTCTATGAGAGAAATGTTTGTCAAGCAGATTGATTCTGTTTATATGCCAGCAGAGTTTGAATACAAACATTTTTCAATCAGTAATTTCCATTCACATCATTGATGTGTTGATTGGAAAACAGTTTTCATCTGTTATTGAAGTGGGTCCCAAAGGATCTCTACTTGGCAACATTTTGTAAACCCAGCAGCACTTAGTTCCTGTTAATGTACATTCTTGAAAATTATAGAATTAAATTTCTTTAAAAACATTAAAAATCATAAATTCATCCTGATCTCTCCCCCACACTATTTACTGGATGCAATAAATCTTTGTCCTCCCTCTTTTCTCAGTGTTATGTGGGGAAGGAGAAAGAGAAGAGATATTAGAACAGATAACAGAACAACTCTTGGAAGAAAAAAGTAATGGAGATTATTTAATGTTCGTCTACTCTCTCTTCCATTTTGTAGATGATGAAAATGGAATTAAGTGAAAGGATGTTAAGTGACTTGCCCAGAATTTAAACTCAGATCTTCTAGTTCCTAGGCTGATGAACATTTCATGACATTATATGGCCATGAGCAATTACTGTGACAAACGGAGACCTGTATGAATATTGATTGTTGAGATCTGCTTTACTCCTAACCTTTATTTCCAGTTATTGAGAGTGAATAAATCAATTGAGAATAAGAAAATGAATATAATAGGCTTTCTTTTGGGACAGTGAGTTTCTCATCCTCAGAAGTATTCAAGCAAAGGCAGGATGACCATTTACTGGGGATATTATACAAAGAGGGGATGCAGCAAGTGAGAGGTTGTGCTATATCAGGGGTGGGGAACCTGCAGCCTCGAGGCTACATGTAGCCCTCTAGGTCCTCAAGTGCAGCCCTTTGATTGAGGCCACACATGGCCTTGAGGCCACAGGTTCCCCTCATTATTTTGCTGGTACTAGTTGATCTTTGTTCTCAATCTACTATCTTAAAATTTTTAAATTAGGCCCTTAGAGGCCGTCTAGTCCCTTCTCCCCAACAACCCTTTCTTATCTCAGCCTTACTTTACAGATGAAGAAATTACAGCCCACAGAGGTTAAATGATTTGCCCAAAGTGGTGGAGTAAAGATCCAAACTCAGGTCTTGTGATTCTTATGTTCAACACACCTTCCATGACACCATGTTACTAAGGGAAGATTGTCCCCTGAAGGTATGTTGGATCATGGAATCGTGGATGTAGAGCTGTAAAGGACCTTAGAGGTCAGCTAGTTCAGTTTTACAGATAAGGAAACCAAGGCCAAGCACTGGAAGTGATTTGCCCAAGGTCACACGAGTAGAGCCCAAACTCAAATTCAGGCCCTTTGACTCCAAATCTAACATTCATCCTGTTGCATCATGATTCCTCTCACAGTTTGGGTTCAAGGTTCTCCCACAATATGTCCCATCATGCCATTATTAGAATTATAATATGGGCCTGGATGGAACCCACATGTCATTTCTAATGGTTTTTCATGTTTTTCTTCAAAGTAGTTGATCAATTAAATAATACTATTTTACCAGGGCTGCACAGGAACTGTTGGCTCTCACTCCCTATGAGAGAGACCTTAGGAGTTGAAGCTTCTATTTGAAAGACACATTTGGTTTGGCAGAGGACCTTGGGACTTTGATTCTACTCTCTCAACTCTCCCATAGAATTCTCTGTCAGCACTCAGGAGAGGGGGAAGATCCTGGGGCTATCTTTCTTTGCCCCCTGCTACGCTAATCATCACAGAAGAGCATTCATTTATTTGATCCCAGTATGAATTCAAATGTACACCAAGATTTGGTACAATATTAGAGGGATAAAATCTTTTTACAGAGAGAAAGAAAAAAACATTAAGTAAGAAAGTTTTGCCAGCTACGAATAGCCCTAGTAATGTTTTTAAAGATTTATGCCAAATGCAACCTTTATTGGAATTTGATCAGATAAAGCTCCAATGATTTGGGAATGCCTTTGAACCCATGGTATTTATCATAACTCTTGGCCACTTTGGAAATTCAAGTACATCTTTCTTTGATTAAGTTGCTCCTGTATTTGTGATTAAATCTCTTCCAGAATCATGAGTTTGGGAAAGGGAAATGGGAAAAGAGAATCTCCTTCTGAAGGAACATTCCAGAAACAAGCCAGGGGCACCATCCTAGAGGAGGGGAAACTCAGGGGCAACCAGTTAGCTTGTCTGTATACTTTAAGAACTGGATCAGAGCCACCATCTAACCAGTTCAGTGGCACCATGGAAACACTGTAGTGCTAAAAGCAGAGAAATGACTCTTAGGGCTGAAGGAACCTAGAGATCATCTAGTTAAACCATTTCATTTTACAGATGAGGAAACTGAGGCCCAGAGAGGTCAAGCAATTTGCCCAGGATCATACAAAGACTTTAATTAGAGAACCAGGACTAGAAGGATAATAATAACAATGATAACTAACATTTACGTAGTGTTGTAATATTTGTAAGGTACTTTAGACATACATAACTTAATCTTCACTATAACCCTGTGAGATGGGTGCTGTTGTTCTTCCCATTTTATAGGTAAAGACACTGGAGCCAAGAGGCGTTAAATGACATGCTCAGGTGGGGTTCAAACTCAGCCTCCAAGTCTAGTTCCCTTTTCCCTATCATGCCACCCTCGTGCAACTGTGAAGTTGGCTTCCGTGGCTGGGTCTATTCTCAGTAATAATGACCTCAGAGGATTTTCTGTGTCCTAGATACAATAATAATAACAATAATAGTAGATATCTTTAATTTCCTCTTAATAGCCATTAGCAGTTTGTATCCAGCAAAATATCCAAACCCATCTTGAAGCTGTTGATCATTTGTAGCTTTTACCACATATCAGAATTAGAAATTTTATATATTTACAACTCAATCTACCAAATGGTATAGTATAACTTCTTACATTTGATGGATTGGGAACAGGCAAGGTCCTAATACATTGACAGTATAGACTACAGAGAGGCCATAGTTGCCTCAAAATCCTTCCTTGTCTGGGAGAAGAGGTGCTAGTAAGTTCAAACTTCATGGTGAACAATCCTTAGGTGTGAATTGCCATACTGAAACTCAGTTGCCGGGGGAAATGATCTCACTCTCCCACTACA